ATAACAGAAAAAGCATTACATTCTACATTTAATTGCATTCAAACATAAGGTTTTGCAGATTTTCATATGAAAAAGAAGATTCATGGTGAAAAATACCTTACAAGAAGAAGGTATTCAAAACCGAAAATGCAGGAATCACGTAAACATCTGAAGAATAGATGGACGTAATCCACAAGAATGAACATTATCTTTATTTTGGGGCATGTTACCCAATCAACAAATTATTTCAATGAGAAAACGCTTTCCAAAGTTTCTCATTTAATCTTTTCTAAAATGAAATTGTTGAAAAGTATAAAAATGATTTTCATAATTTTTTACTTAGTAAACTATTTCCAACATTCGTAAGCCCTACAGTGCAGGATGTTTTCAAAAAGCCTTCGGGAGCTTTTTGATGTTTTCAAAACCCTCAGGGTCATCTGTAAGACCTACAGTGCATGATGTTCTCAAAAAGCTTTCGGGAGCTTTTTGATCTTAAAGCCTCAGGGCCATCTGTAAGACCTACAGTGCATGATGTTCTCAAAAAGCCTTCAGGAGCATTTGATCTTAAAGCCTCAGGGTTATCTGTAAGACCTACAATGCATGATGCTTTCAAAAAGCCTTCGGGAGCTTTTTGATCTTAAAGCCTCAGGGTCATCTGTAAGCCCTACAGTGCAAGATGATAAGACCTCAGGGCCATTCATAAGACCTCTGGGTAGAATGTTTTCAATATTTCCAGAAGAGTTCATAATGAGAAGAACTCATCTAAAGAAGGAAGAAGAAGTTCATAATGAGAATAACTTGTTCAACCTTTTGCTTTAATTCATCACCCGATGGATTAACATTGCCAGAGAAAGTTCATAATGAGAAGAACTTATCTGAAGAAGGAATAAGAAGTTCATAATGAGAAGAACTTGTTCAACCTTTTGTTTGAATTCATCATTTGATGGATCAGCATTACCAGGTAGAGTTCACAATGAGAAGAACTCATCTGAAGAAGGAATAAGAAGTTCATAATGAGAAGAACTTGTTCAACCTTTTGCTTTAATTCATCACCCGATGGATTAACATTGCCAGAGAAAGTTCATAATGAGAAGAACTTATCTGAAGAAGGAAGAAGAAGTTCATAATGAGAAGAACTTGTTTAACCTTTTGTTTGAACTCATCATTTGATGGATCAACATTACCAGGTAGAGTTCATAATGAGAAGAACTCATATGAAGAAGGAAGAAGAAGTTCATAATGAGAAGAACTTGTTCAACCTTTTGCTTTAATTCATCACCTGATGGATTAGCATTGCCAGAGAAAAGTTCATAATGAGAAGAACTTATCTGAAGAATAAAGAAGAAGTTCATAATGAGAAGAACTTGTTTAACCTTTTGTTTGAATTCATCATTTGATGGATCAGCATTACCAGTTAGAGTTCATAATGAGAAGAACTTTTTCAACCTTTTGCTTTAATTCATCACCCGATGGATTAGCATTGCCAGAGAAAGTTCATAATGAGAAGAATTTATCTGAAGAAGGAAGAAGAAGTTCATAATGAGAAGAACTTGTTCAACCTTTTGTTTGAATTCATCATTTGATGGATCAGCATTACCAGGTAGAGTTCATAATGAGAAGAACTCATCTGAAGAAGGAAGAAGAAATTCATAATGAGAAGAATTTGTTCAACTTTTTGTTTGAATTCATCACTCGATGGATCAACTTTTCCAGAGAAGTGTTCATAATGAGAAGAACTCATCTAAAGAAGAAGAAGAAGTTCATAATGAGAAGAACTTGTTCAATTTTTTTTTGCATGACTCTATCACAGAAAGAGATAGATCAGCACCAACATTTCCATATGAAGTTTATAATGAGAAGAGCTCATCTGAAGAGGAAGAAGAAGTTCATAATGAGAAGAATTTGTTCAACCTTTTGCTCGACGCTATCACTAAAAGAGATAGATCAACATCAACATTTCCAAAAAGAGTTCATAATGAGAAGAACTCGTCTGAAGAGGAAGAGGAAGTTCATAATGAGAAGAATTTGTTCAACCTTGCCTTAATTTATCACATATGAAGTTGAATCAACGACACCTCTTTTGAGGATCAATATTTCTAAAAGGAGTTCGTAATAAGAAGAGAAGAACTTATAGCTCAGAAGTTTGAACATTTAAAGCTAAAAATGGTGCTTTACGTCTTTTCTCCATTCTTGTTCTACAGCAACGAGTAAAGAGGGGCAGCTGTAATCACCATTTTTACCTTGACAGTAGCCATCTCCACGTTACAGCTCCAGCATATTCCAGCAAGCCCAGAACAGCTGTCCCTCCACCACAACAGTGTTCCAGTAGCTTCCAACACCAGAATAGCTGTCCCTCCACGTTTCAGCAACTTTCACGTCATCGGTAGCTCCCACGACCTCCCTTGTTCCACGTTCTGAATCAGCCAATCACCACAAAAAATAACATAATGTAAATCTTTATTTTTTATATGTAAACTGTGGCTATAAAAACTCCATAACCGTATGTAAAGAGAAGGAGGAATCAAGAACAATACAAAGAAAATCAGAAATAAAAATAAAGCAAAGTTCTTCGTCAGAGTCTAGGTCGCCGGAGAAACGTCGGTTGAAGAATCGGAGAAAGGCTTGAGATTTTCAATCTCGTTTTTTGTAGTTTAATCCCAAATCGGGATTTAAAAAATTTTTTAAGGATAAATTTTTAGGTTCGGGTTTTGTGTGGGATAATCGGAAGAGTGTTTGGCCACCGATTTACGGTGGTCGGTGTCGAGGCCTAGGCGTTGAATTGCTCTCGACCAAGCCAAGGAGAGGAGACAGAGAGAACACAGAACCCAAAACCATTAAAAGATCGAAGAAAAAATTGAGAGAAGCCTTACCGAAGAAGCTGCGACGCCATCAGAGTTCATAGGCCGCCGTAGAAGCAAAATACCGAAGGTATTTTTTGTAGATCTATGTAAATAGGAGATGTTTTGTGGGAAAGAGGGGTCGGATTCGACTGTAGATCATCCCAATCAATGTTTTGAGAGATTTTAGAATTTTTTGGCCACCGATAACGGTGGCCGACGGCAAGGAAGGTGGCGGCAGACGGTTGCCGCCCGGTGACCGGCTTCCCTCCGGTGAGGGAAGCTAGAGAGAAGCGAGAGAAATGATATTTCTCTTCTCTAGAGAAAGAAGAGAAATGAGAGAGCTGGCCCTTCGGGCTAGCCGTTTCGGGTTTAAATACCCCTCCCCGAACGACGCCGTTTTGGGGAGGGGTCTATTTGTAATTTATTAAAAGTTAAACCCTGTACGCAGTCCAGTAATTTTGTAATTTTATATTATAGTCACTAAAATCAAATTATGAACTTTTTAATTTGATTTCTTAATGTTATTTCTTTATAATTTAGTCACTGACATAAATATTTTAGACAAATAACCGATTTAGTCCTTTAATTCTAATTAATTTTATTTTAATCTCGAATACATGTTTTAAACTTATTTTAATTTGATATACGAATTTAATATAATTTTTAATCTAGTCACTAAATTAATAAAAAATAAAATAACATGTTTAATCCCTATAATTTTAAATAATTATGAATTAGGTATTTAATTCTATTAGGTTATAATTTAGTCATTAATTGCAATTTTTATTTATTTTTTTTTTTACAAGTTTTATACATAGTTTTAATTTTATTTATTGTTAATATGTTTACTTTTAATTATTATTACTATTATTATTATTATTATTATTATTATTTAGTCATAAATATATATATTTATATAATAAATAATATGTATTTTATTTATTAAAATCTTATTTACTTATTTTTAACATATTTTAATCCTGTTTTAATATTTATTTATTTGTCAATATTAAGAAAGGGCAGTCTTAAAATAATTGGATGTCTATTTTCTGATATTTTTAAATAAATAAATATCCTATTTTATAAATTATATATATTAATTGTTTTAATTATTTATTTATTTTTAATATCGAAGAAAAGAGCTGTCTTAAGGCACCTAGAAGTCCTTTTCTGATATTTCTAAATAAATAAATATTTTATTTATAAATATATATAAATTACTATTTTTTATAATTATAATTTTGAAATAATAGGATTATAAATTAAATATATTTTTATTTTTTTTTTAATTTCTAATAATAAGAGACAATTTATAATTAAAAAGTACTAATTTTGGACGTTGTAGGGGTGCTAATCCTTCCCTAAACGTAACCGACCACGAATCCCTTTTTATTATTAAAAAGAAAGAATTTTTGGTTAAAACGCAGATCAGTTTATCTTTTAATCGATGTTTTCTGAAAAACTCTTTTAAAGGATGATTTTTAGATATTCGACCTACCTGACCCAAAAGGCCGATGGCGACTCCCAAAATATTTTTTAAAATCAAAATCATTAATTTATTCACATCACTTTTCCCGCCGAGTAAAAATTTCGTGCCCGGGCAAAAACCGGTTAAGACACATATATAAATACTCGAACTCTAGACATTGCTTAAACCATATCAAGTTACTTGCCACTTGAACCAACCCCTATTGGTTAATGATACAATAACTTTTTAAGAACAATGTTTTACCCTTTTTAAACTAGTTTGGTCCCAAGCCCAAACATTGCATTAAAAAGACTAAAAGGGAAGATTTTTCAGGTAAAATTTTCTATGATTTACAGCCCCTCATAGCTCCATAATCTTGATGTAGTACACGTAAAGGAGAGGGAGAATTCTATCTCCAAAATGTCTCAATAGCTACATCACTATTTTGCCTTGCTATCAAAGTTTACAATATGAACAGTGTGGTGTTTTCTATTCTAATTCTCTAATTTATAGAACTCAAGAATGAACCAATAGTGCAATGAAATTCTTGTGCTAGAGTAACCGGCAGGAATTCAGATTACCAATCTGTAAATCCATTTTCGACAGTCATGCATTCTCGGTTTACTGAGTATGATGTGGATCTGTGCCGTTGGATATAGCTATCACCTATACGGTAACCCTCATCTACCATAACTTGTCTTCAATTGCTTCCCGTGACAGCCACATCGAAATACATACAGAGGCTATTTCCAATTCATCAAGCCAGTTATCGATGTCTAAACACGAGCAATCGGAGAGAAGGGAGGGTTAATCACATAGGATAGTGGGTTTGCTACTGCTCTCTTGCTGACTTTCTTCTTCTTCTCTTTGACTGCTTCAATTAAGAGTTTCACTTCATCATCGACAAGTGATTTTAGTGAATTGCATTCGGACAAATGTTCAGTTTGTGCCTCCACGGCAGCAGCGGGGGTTTCAGTACCATGCAATATGGAAACACAAATAGAAAATGCTTGTAACACTGATAACTTTGCATGGAAATCAACTGCATACCCTCCTTCGGTGGCTGTCAAGGTCAGTGCCGGTGTATTCTCTTTGGCGCCCTACATAATAATCAAAATTTAGTAATAGACGTTAACTAAACCTAGATAATGATCAATAATCAGAAACGGTATAAAGAAGAAAAATGATTTCTAACAATCTTAACTATATTATCATCCGAGCATCAAACCGAACCACAGCGATAGAAAAATGATTCAGCATTTAGTGATATACCAGGATGAAGAACAAGGGGTCTTAACTTAATTCCATTGGATCCTGAGAACCTTGTTAAAAGGCTCTTTGGCATAAAAGTATACATGCATATGTTAATGTGTACCTGAAGAAAAAGTTCAAAAGGCTGCTCACTGTCCAACCGTGGTTGATCTTCGGAACAATTTATACCGGAATTGCCAAAAACTACAAGGGGACAAGCCATGTCCCAGCCTCCACAATCGCAACCTCCACCCTTCCTCCACCTATCAAGTAGCGATGAAGGACCTGAGGTCTCAGTATTAGGAAAGCCATGGTTTCCAGTAGGAATAACCACCTTCACCTTTTCTTGGCACCTGCTATCTTGTATGTTGCTTTTGCATTCTTCAATCAAAGAGACATTGAGAAGGTTTAAATGCCTCTTATCATCTATTTTATCCCCTCTTCTGTATTTCAAGCTCTCTCTCTTCTTAAATGGTACTTGCATGACTATGGCGGCAATTTCAAGGTTTGGATGCAGATTGGCAGGTACCAATTGAGTTGATCCATTCAGGAAATCAACCTCATCACTGTCTGAAGCAAGAGTTAAGTGATCTTTAAGCCTCACTACATTAGAGCAATCGTCTGATTCATAACTTCCAACATTCGAGCCTGGACTAGAACAGGTCGGTGTTTTACAAACATCAGGTGATCCTTGGACCAAAACACGCTGTCTCGCATGTGCGATATCATACAAAACAAACTCCGTAACCATGGAGTTTTCGAGCACCCCTCCGTCTTTAATTTCCGAGCAGAAACAGCAGGAGACTTGCATCTGCGCAACAACCGAAGAATCTTTGCTACTATCACTCAATCCCCACATACTGGCATTGCTCTTCTTTCCATTGCTGAAGGAGTGAAAGGTATATACCCAATTAAAAGCATTATCTTGCTTCCACTGTTTGGCCAGAAGAACAATATCTTCCCGTTGATTCATTGAGAACTCGAAAAAAGGCACCCCTTGTTTCACTCCCAACTTGAGACAACCGTGTAGGTGAACCGGTGAGCTTGCCACTGCAGGGTGAATGGTATCTTTCTTGATAAACTGGGTCTCCGGTTCAGAATTTCGATGTGAATATGAGAAGTCATGTAACAAAGATTTCCGAAATGTCTTATCTCTTCTCGTATTTTCCATCCCAAGAGTTCTGTCACAGTCAGCTTCTGCTGCATAACCCAAAGGACTTCGTAGAGACTTTGATTTCATGAATGGATCAAACATCTTCCTAATAGGACTAAATCTAGCTTTTGAGCTGGTTTGGGAAAATCGGTCACTTTCTGATGAAGAGGGTGAATGACACGCTTCCATCTTAGCAGATAGTGACTTATGAAGGTTCCGAATCATGTCTTTTTCAACAAGTTCGTTACCATCATCTGTATGACGGGCTACCGGTTCACATCCGAAACTTTTGTTCCTCTTGTTATCAATCCCTACAGTTTCCACCAACTGTTTTTCTCTCTTTTCGGAATCTTTATTATCCGAACTTAGACAGATTTCAACGAAGCCATCTGATGAGCATGACTCGAAATAAGGTTTGCTAATGGAAGCTGATTTCAAGTTCGAGCCAGTAGACATCACTGAGTTCCTCTCTTGTGGGCTCTCGTCTTCTGAATTGCAAAGAGAATCGACAATCCTAAACGAATACGGGGTGTCACTACTACGTGATAATTCAACTTTCCTCCTCCCCTCAACTGTGCCTGTTCTTTTCATTTTCCTTACCTCTTTAGAGCTTTGATATATGGAACCTCGCTTCAACTCAGCATTACCTTCGCCCCCAACAGATCTACACGGAGTGGTTTTACAAGAAGCACTGCGGTAACGGCGAAAGGCGATTTCAGTAAACCCCTCCTTTAGCCTCAATACATCCTCGTTATGGCTTGGTTTTCCTTTAAGATATCTCTTTTCCATGTTCAAACATTGCCGAGAAGATGGAAGAACAGTGTTAGGACTCAGATCTAATGTAAAGTTCTTCTCTAAGTCCGAATCCATCTCTAGTCCCATCGATTCATTTACAGTCCTGCAAGAAATGCCAGTAATATAAGCACATATTCAACAACATTCAAACTAACAGAGATCAACAATCCACAAACTAATATATGCTCGATTAATTCCCATATGCTTAACCACATATACAATTTCAGATGAAGATTTCTATTGAAAAATTGAAAAATAAATCTATAATATCAATGGTCTAATGCCATTAGACCATATCCTGAAAACAACTAAAAGGGGAAAAAGTCTTGTCCTATTACGATAAGGAATAAAAAAGAAGAAAAGAATGAAGAACAGACAAAAATCACTAATGAGGGCTTAAATAAGACCTTAATGATCAAGCAAATACAGCCTCAACAACAAAGTAAAATCTCAGCTCATAAGGGAAAAACAGATTCATAAAAGAAGTTAACTTTAGAAATAGCCTTCATTTGGTAAAGCATAGAACTTTAAGGTTAAAAACTGGGTTTGATCTCAAAAAAAAAAAAAGAACTAAAACACTTGAACAAACAATACAACAAGGAATTTCTTGATCTCCATAAACATAGAGGAAAAATGATTAAAGTGACAGGGATAAAGGCTATACACAATTATTAAAGAAAACAGAAACTTTATTTTCACTTGCATTTCAAGCCAACAAAAGGTGGGCAAAACCAAATTGGTAGAGAAAATGGGGAATAATGGCATACCCTCCATTGTAGATCTTGGAGAAGTGAATTCAAAGAAAACCCAAACAAACAATATAAGAAAGAAAGCAAAGAAGAAAACACCAAAAACCTTTGTTTAAAGAAGAAGCAGGCAAGACATGACCCTCAAAGAGTACTTAGGACTGTAAAAGAACCCAACAAAACAAAAAGTAGAATGTAAAAGCAAAAAACAAGAACTGGACCACTAACTAGAAACAAAGCATGATGGACACAAAAGGTATGAGATGTTTTAAAGAGAAGAAAGAAAGAAAGCATGCCTTGCCCTTGCCTTGACTGTGTTAATTGATTGAGTTTAAGAGAATAAGAGTGAGAGTTTCCTTTTGATTCCTGTCTCACCAGAGACAATGAGCAGCTCTGCTTCTGTTTATGTCTTCTGTAATAAAGCAATCTTGTTTCAATTCATCATATGCTTGCTTGCTTGCTGCCTATATTACGTTTTTGCTATATTATATTATTGGGTAAATTCTATACTTAGTCATTCAACTATCACTTTAATTCTATTTTAACTATTCAAGTATAATTTTGGTTCCATTTTGGTCTTTTTATTATTATTTTTCTCAAAAACATACTTAAACTTACGTTTTGGTCAACAACCGTAAAAAAATAACAATGATAATGATATATCACCATAAGATAATAACAATTGACGGAACTAAGTGGAACATATGGGGTCCATGACCCCTAAAATTTTAAAAAAATCAGTTTTAGATCCTTAAAAAAAATTAAAAAAAACTTGGCCTCAACATAATTTTAAGAAAATCATTTTAAACTTTAAAATTTTTTAATGTTATTAACAAAATTCATCCTATAATTTTTAAAAATTCTCATTAAGCATCCTATAATTTTTAAAAATTCTCATTAAGCATTTCAAAATTTTAAAAAATATAATTAAACCCCATTTTGTATTTTTTTTATTTTGAAAAAATGTAGACTAGACTCTTCAAAAATTTTGAAAATTGTAATTTAAACCTCTAAATCTTTTAAAGTTTTAAGTTGACCCCTTAAACTCTATCACCGAGTTTCTCCAATGATAATAACACGTCATCATTGAAAAAAAAATATCACATTAGTAATTATATTTATTTGTAACGAAAGGGGATCAAAACTTAACGTTAATTATGAATTTAAAAAACAAAATAGTTGAATGATCAAAACATAACTAAAGTAATAGTTGAATAACTAAATACATAGTTTATCCTATATTATTATTATTTCAGCTAAAGGATTTCAGGCAGCCATTGCAAAAGACAGAAACACCAATAAAGAATGCTTGTCTAATCTCACTTATCGGGGTAGTTTTGGCATTTCATACTGGTGATATATCAAATTCTTCTTTAATTAAATAAAAAGAGATGGGGGTGCCTCTATCAGTCGGTACTATTATCATATGCCATTGGGAACTGTACATGTATCAAAAACTGCATTCCCATAATTAATTTAACTATTTCCAAACATTTATAATAATCATTTAATTTAGGACATTAATAATGTTGTAATTTGCGGATCTGTCGATGTGAAATTACAATAAAACCCCTAATCATAAGTGCTATGGGGGTATGGGATCAATTTGTTGATAAAAATGCCCTTATTTGTTTGTAGAAATAATAATGTTCCAACCACTTGATTAATTGCAAAATACTAAAAAACCCTTAAAAGTTAACTATTAGTATTATTTTTGGTTATTATTTGATATATATATATATATAGTATGTGAAATTTATTTTATATTATTTATTTATTTTAATTCTAAAACTGAAATTTTAAATATAAAATTTTAAATTTTAAAATCTAGTAATTTCAGTGATAAAAGGAAGTGTTGTTCTTTCTAATAATTTTGTGTTCGTGCAGTTATGTCTACAAGATACATGTGCATTATTAATAGACAAAAAATTACATTTAAACAGTAATTATCTTATAATCATCGCATACTAATAAAAAAATCTTAAATTCTAAATCCATAATAAATTTCTTTAAAAGAAAATTTAACATGTTTTTATTAAATACTAAAATATCATATTAATTTTATGATTGTTTTTAAATCCCGGTGTTTAGACGAATATAACTTTTTCCTGTGAAGGTGTATTTAATATTTATTTAAAAATATAAAAATATAATTAATAAGATAATTCCAAAGTGTAATAAATTTTGTTGAGAATAACTTTAAGTGACTTAACAATTTAGTTAAGTTTGCATGGACAATGACTAGAGGAAATGGTTAGAAAAAAATTCAACAATCAATTTATGGTTTTTAAATGGTAAAATGACTTTGGATGTAAGGTAGACCCAATTGGATGTAACTTTGTGCATTTTTTTCCTTTTATTAATATGTGATTAAGCGAAATGGTAAAATGACCTACCCAATTTATGTTTTGGGTCATCCAATTATTATTTATTTTAAAGTATACCTAGTGTTATTTTTTTGTTCTATTTTGGTCACTCGTCTTTAAAAAATTAACAGTGATGTTTACATGTCATCATAAGATAATTGTAGACACTCATTTTCGCCCCATTTATTTTTATTTTTTTACATATATATATATATATATAATATGCAGTTTGAAAACATTTTAAAATGTATATATAATATATACTTTTGAAAACATGTTTCAAAACATTTATATATTATATAGTTTTTAAGATATTTTGAAAATTAATATAATATATAGTTTTCAAAACATTTTTGAAAATATATATTATATAGTTTTTAAAAACATTTTGAAAATTAATATAATATATAGTTTTTAAAACATTTTTGAAAATATATATATTATATAGTTTTTAAAATATTTTAAATATATATATATATATAGTTTTTAAAAAACATTTTGAAAACATATATATATTATATAGTTTTGAAATCATTTTTGAAAACATATAATATATAGTTTTAAAAACATTTTTGAAAACTATATAATTTTGAAAACATTTTTTTAAAAAAGTATATAATATAAAATTTTAAAATATTTTTAAAAATATATATTATATAGGTTTTGGAAAATATTTTTTTATATATAATATATTATTATTTTTTCTTTTTTTTCCTTTTCTCTGTTTTATTCTTATTAACATTTTATTTTATTATTTTTTGTATGTCCAAAGTTCAGGTCAGGGTCCAAGTCAGAGTCCAACAGGCCCAACCGAGTAGACTGATCCAACTGACCCGGTTAGGCCCAAGTGCATGAAGATTACACAGCAAGACTAGGGTTTCTGGAACCCAAAACGGTCAGTGCCCCATAGAGGGAAACAGGGAGCCAGTCAAGGAACATCACGAACGGCCGAGATATCCGGCCAAGGGAATTGGGATTGACCTATCCCGAAACCCCCGGCCAACGATGGGGTGGTTACGGCGAAGATCGGAAAAGATGAGCACCGGTGGGGTATAAATAACCCACCACAAACACTGCCAAGGGGAGGAAGTATCATAGGACTACAGACCATCAGCACCACGGTACCAACGGAGCCATAGAAACCATCAACATCGAGAGAACCCGAGAGATATCAACAAACCCACATCAAACATAGAAACATCACAACAATACAAACGTGGAACCATAAAAACAAACCACGTCAAAGCCAAAACAAAACTCAGAACCAAAACAAGAAAATCATTCGAAACCCATAAGCAGAAAAATAAGCAAAATATCACTCCGTTCGTCGGAAACGAAAGGAACCAAATGTCGAAACCAAAGAGCCACCAGAAAGTCGAAAAGACACAACATCGAAGGTAAAAGATCTTATCTTTGGGGGTAGATCTAAACTGTTTGGGGCTATATTTTGTAATTTTGGCTTCGAAATTGGGTTTAGGGTGTAAAGGGGAGTGTTTGGGAAAGTTTTTAGTTTATCTGGCAGTGGCGGCCGGAGCGGCGGATAGTGGCGACCGGCAGTGTCTCCGGCGTGGGAGCTTTAGAGAGGGAAGAGAGAAAATTTCTTCTCTCAATGTGAAGAGAGAGAACAAAAATGAGTAAATAGGGGAAACTGGTCATTCTTGGCCTTGGGTTTGGTATATGTATAAAATGCAAAACAACGTAGTTTTGCAGCTGCGCAATGAACGACGCCGTTTTGACCCCTAGTAATTCCGTGTTTTCGAAAAGGGGGGAATACCAGGTTTAGTCCCCCTATTTTGTAGTCTCTTTATTTAATCATTAAGGTGATTTTTTTATTTCTTGATTCGAGTCTTTACTATTCCATATTTTTATTTTGGTCACTCACTTAATTATTATACTATGTTTATTGATTTTATTTCATTCTATTTTCCTTTTGGTCACTCACTTAATTATTATACTATGTTTATTGATTTTATTTCATTCTATTTTCCTTCTTTATTATTTTTTTTCTTTTAACATTTTAATTATTATTATTATTTTTCCCCTTTCGAGATTTAACATGG